AAGAATTACGTGAAAAATCCATCATATTGAGCCAATACTACACCCAAGATCTTGAGGAAAATTTGGGAAATGAAATGGTCTTTTTCAAGGCATACTGCACCGAAAAGAAGATTTTAAATTATTCTCCTCTGGAACTGTTGAAAATGCTGAGACAGGATAATCTGCAGATCTCTTACCCTAATGTTGAAATTGCGTTGCGGATGTTTGTTTCAATTCCTATTTCCAATTGTAGCGCAGAAAGATCGTTTTCTGTTTTAAAACGCGTGAACTGCTATCTCAGATCTTCATTGAGCGAAAACAAACTGAATGCTCTTGCGTTGCTGACTATAGAGTCAGATTTGTTTCTATCTATCGATTGTGAAGATATTATCCGCGAATTCGCAGCTGAAAAATCAAGACGTAAAGAACTGTGAAAAAGAAGTGTTTGAAAGAGGGTTTTTGTTGAATACCTTATCCATGCTGATGTCGAATTTGTTAATTCCGTTATGTATTTCATTATTAACGAACTATATTGTAATAAAGCACTGACAATAACAATCATATTTGATATATATATATATATTTTTTTTTTCGTGAAAAAAGGGCGGCAAGTTATGAATTGCCTAGGGGCGGCAAATATTTAAATCCGCCACTGATTACTCCTATAGGGTGCAGTATCGGTATGCGTTTGTATTTATTTTCCCTGCAAATTTTGCAATTTTCGGAAAATGTTTTAACCATTTTTACATGTCTGGAAAATAATACTCGGCCAATATTTGTTTACAATTTTCATTGCTTTCCCTATATGCTCTATTGTGCTCGTTGGCAATTATTTCTAACTGGTCATTTTTATTGAAAGTATCCTGCACAAGTTTGCTAGTGTACCTCATTTTTACTCCTGGAAATGCGTTTACCAGATCGTTTTGAATCATTCCTAAAGTTTCTTAACTGCAATGAATGCCATTCACAACTGCCGCGTTTAATGTGTCTTTCAAAGTGCATATCAAATTTGGGATGGATGAAAATTGCACCATGTGATTTGTGATTTCTGATTTGTTTTTGAAATAATGCTCTCATTTGCTTACGATCCGAGTTAAGCGAATGTTGAATGAAGATTTGGTTCTTAAAGCAGTTTATAGGATTTGGTACATAGGGAATAATATTTGTGGATGACTGTTCGCTATGAGCAGTAGTTGCGTGTATATGTTGACGTGACAGCGCGTCAACAACTTTGTTTTCTAATCCTGGCATATAATAGAATTTCGGAGAATATTCTTCAATAAAACTCCTCCATCTTTTAAGTTTTGTATTTGGGTTTTTTTCGGACATCGCGAAAATTAAGGGCTGATGGTCCGTATAAATATGAATATTCGGAGCCCCATATAAATAGTTTTTTAGGCTTTGCAAAGCCCAAACTATTGCTAGTATTTCTCGTTCATTTGTTGCATAGTTTTGTTCGGTTTTACTTAAAGTTCGTGAAACCATCGCTTTTGGCCGTCCCTTTTGCGATAAAACGGCTCCGATTGCATCAGCAGATGCACCCATTGTTAACTCAAAGGGTTTCCTAAAATCGGGATATAAAAGTAACACGTCTTCTGAGGCTAATATAGATTTAATTCTATTAAATGCACCTATCGCTTCAGCGTTTAGCTGAAGTTTTATATACTTAGACTTTCTGGCTGATACGTGCCCGTTTCGCCACTAAGATATTTTGTTAGACGTTTGGCAATTGACGCATAACCTTTTACAAATATCCTGTAATACCCCGCCCGTCCTAGAAAAGACCTCAGGCTGCGAAGAGATTTTGGTATTTCATAGTTAACTATATCTTTAATTTTGTTAGGGCATGTCTTAATTCCATCACTGGATACCCTAAAGCCTAAAAATTCTACTTCGGCGTGAAAAAATTTTGACTTTTCAGGTGCTACTCGCATATTTGCTTGCAAGAGTTTTGTCAGTATTCT